CAGATCAATAAGGCATTATGAAATTGAATCAGTAATAAAAATCCTACCAACCAGAAAAGGTCCTAGACTAGAAGGATTCACAGCTGAATTCTATCAGACATAGAAAGAAGAGCTGGTACCAATTCAGCTGAAACTATTCCAAATAACTGAGGAGGAGGGTTCCCTCCCTAACGCATTCTATTAGGCCAGCATCATGCTGATACCAAAGCCTGGTAGAGACACAGCAAAAAAAGAAAACTTTAGGCCAGTATTCCTGATAAACATAGATGCAGACATTCTCAACAAAATACTAGTAAACCAAGTCCAGCAGCACATCAAAAAGCTAGTCCACCATGATCAAGCAGGCTTTATTCCTGGAATGCAAGGTTGGTTTAACATACCCAAATCAATAAATGTGATTAATCACATAAACAGAACTAAAAACAAAAAAATGATCATCTTAGTAAATGCAGAAATGGCTTTTGATAAAATTCAACATTCTTTCATGTTAAAAATCCTCAATAACTAGGTATACCTCAAAATGAGCCATCTATGACCAACCCACAACTGACATCATACTGAATGGGCAAAATCTAGAAACATTCTCTTTGAGAACTGGAACAAAGCAGAGATGCCCACTTTCACTATTCCTATTCAGCATAGTACCAGATTCCTAGCCAGAGCAATCAGGCAAGAAAAAGAAATAAAAGGCATCCAAACAGGAAGAGAGAAAGCCAAACTATTTTTGTTTACAGGTGATATGATTCTATACCTAGAAAACACCATAGCCTCTGCCCTAAGGCTCCTAGATCTGACAAACAACTTCAGCAAAGTTTCAAGATACAAAGTCATGATACAAAAATGTGTAACATTTCTATACATGAATAACATCCCAACTGAGTGCCAAGTAAAGAACACAATCCTATTAACAATGGCCACAAAAAGAATAAAATACTTAGAAATATAGCTAGCCAGAGGAGTGAAGTATCTCTACAATGAGAATTACTAAACACTGCTGAAAGAAATCAGAGACAACACAAACAAATAAAAAAAATTCCATATCATGGACAGGAAGATTCAATATTGTTAAAATGGTTATACTTCCTGATATAGTTTGGCTGTGTCCCTGCTCAAATCTCATCTTGAATTGTAGCTTGCTTAATTCCCATGTGTTGCGGGAGGAACCCGGTGAGAGATAATTAAATCATGGGGGCAGTTTCTCTCAGACTGTTCTCATGGTAGTGAATAAGTCTCATGAGATCTGATGGTTTTATAAGGGATTTCCCCTTTCACATGGCTCTCATTCACTCTTGCCTGTTGTGTGTGAGATATGCCTTTTGCTTTCCACTGGGATTATAAGGCCTCCCCAGCCACATGGAACTGTGAGTCCATTGAACCTCTTTTTCTTTGTAAATTACCCAGTCTCAGGTATGTCTTTATCAGCAGCATGAAAATGAACTAATACAGTAAATTGGTACCAGGAGTGGAGTGCTGCTGTAAAGATACCTGAAAATGTGAGAGTGACTTTGGAACTGGGTAACAAAGAGAGGTTGGAACAGTGTAAGGGGCTCAGAAGAAGACAAGAAAATGTGGGAAAGTTTGGAACTCCCTAGAGACTTGTTGAATGGCTTTGACCAAAATGCTGATAATGACATGGACAATGAAATCCAGGCTGAGATAGTCTCATATGGTGATGAGGAACTTGTTGGGAAGTGGAGTAAAGGTGACTCTTGCTATGTTTTAGCAGTGACCTTTTGCACCTGTCGTAGAGATTTGTGAAACTTTGAACTTAAGGGAGATGATTTAGGGTATCTGGTGGAAGAAATTCCTAAGCAGTAAAACATTCAAGAGGTGATTTGAGTGCTGTGAAAAGCATTCAGTTTTAAAAGGGAAACAGATCATACAAGTTTGGAAAATTTGTAGCCTGATGATGTGGAGGAAGAGAAAAACCCATTTTCTGAGGAGAAATTCAAGCCAGCTATAGAAATTTGCATAGGTAATGAGAAGCCAAATGTCAATCACCAAGACAATGAGGAAAATGTCTCCAGGGCATGTCATAGGACATTCATGGTCTGCCCTATCATCATAGGCCTGGAGGCCTAGGAGGATAAAATGGTGTCCTTGGCCAAGCCGAGGGCCCCCCCGGTATGTGCAGCCTAGGGACTTCATGCCCTGCATCCCAGACACTCTAGCCATGCCTAAAAGGGGCCAAGGTACAGCTCGGTCTGTGGCTTCAGAGGACGCAAGCCCCAAGTCTTGGCAGCTTCCATGTGGTGTTGAGCCTGTGGGTGCACAGAGGTCGAGAATTGAGATTTGGGAATCTCTGCCTAGATTTCAGAGGATGTATAGAAATGCTTGGATGTCCAGGCAGAAGTTTGCTGCAGGGGCGGGGCCCTCATGGAGAACCTCTGCTAGGGCAATGCAGAAAGGAAATGTGAGCTTGAAGCCCCCACACAGAGTCCCCACTGGGGTACTGGCTAGCAGAGCTGTGAGAAGAGGGCCACTATCCTCCAGACTCCAGAATGGTAGATCCACTGACAGCTTTCATCATGCACCTGGAAAAGCCACTGACACTCGACAGCAGCCCATAAAAGCAACTGTACCCTGCAAAGCCACAGGGGCAGAGCTGCCTAAGACCATGGGAACCCATCTCTTATATCTGCATGACCCAGATGTGAGACATGGAGTCAAAGGAGATCATTCTGGACTTTAAGATTGTATTGCCCCACTGAATTTCAGACTGCATGAGGCCTTTAACCCCTTTGTTTTGGCCAATTTCTCCCATTTGGAATGAGTGTATTTATTCAATGCCTGTACCCCCATTTTATCTAGGAAGTAACTGAACTTGCTTTTGGTTTTATAGGCTCACAGGTGGAAGGGACTTGCCTTGTTTCAGATGAGACTTTGGACTGTGGACATTTGAGTTAATACTGAAATGAGTTAAGGCTTTGGGGGACTGTTGGGAAGGCATGATGGGCTTTGAAATGTGAGGGCATGAGATTTAGGAGGGGCCAACAGTGGAATGATATGGTTTAGTTGTGTACCCACCCAAATCTCATCTTGAATTGTAGCTCCCATAATTCCCATGTGTTGTGGGAGGGACTCAGTGATAGATAATTGAATCATGGGGGCAGTTTTTTCCATACTGTTCTTGTGGTAGTGAATAAGTCTCAAAAGATCTAACAGTTTTATAACTGGTTTCCCCCTTTGCTTGGCTCTCATTTTCTCTTGCTGCTGCCATGTAAGACTTGCCTTTGGCCTTCTCCCATAATTGTGAGGCCTCTCTAGCCATGTAGAACTCTGAGTCCATTAAACCTCTTTTTCTTTATAAATTACTCAGTCTCAGATATCAGTAGAATGAAAATGGACTAATACATTGTCCAAAGCAATGTACAGTTCAATGCTATTCCTATTAGACTACCAATGACATTTTTTACAGAATTAGAAAAAACTATTCCAAGATACACATAGAACCAAAAAAGAGCCTGAATAGCCAAAGCAATTCCAAGAAAAAAAAAAAAAAAAAAACACGAAAAACCAAAAAACAAAACTAAAACCAAAGGCATCACACTCCCTGATATCAAAGTATACTATAAAGCTACAGTAATCAGAACAGCATGGTAATGGTACAAAAACAGAGGCATAGACCAAAGAAACAAGTGTGAGGACCCGGAAATAAAGCTATGTACCTACAATGATCTGATCTTCGACAGAAGTGACAACAATAAGCAATGGAGAAAGGAGTTCCTGGTCAATAAATGCTGGGATAACAGGCTAGCCATATGCAGAAGATAAAAATGGGACACCTTCCTTACGTTATATATAAAAATTAACTCAAGATGGATTAAAGACTTAAATGTAAAACATAAAGCTGCGAAAATTCTAGAAGAAAACCTAGGAAATACCATTCTGGACATAGATCCTTGCAAAGATTTCATGATAAAGACTCCAAAAGCAATTGCAACAAAACCAAAAATTAACACGTGGGACCTAATTAAACTAAAGAGTTTTTGTACAGCAAAAGAAACTATTAATAAAATAAACAGATAACCTACAGAATGGGAGAAAATATTTGCAAACTATTCCTCTGACAAAGGTATAATATTCAGAATCCATAAGGAACTTAAACAAATCAACAAGCCAAAAAACAGTCGTGTTAAAAAATGGGGCCAGGCACTGCAGCTCACGCCTGTAATCCCAGCACTTTGGGAGGCCAAGGCAGGCAGATCACAAGGTCAGGAGATCGAGACCATCCTGACTAACATGGTGAAACCCCATCTCTACTAAAAATACAAAAAATTAGCCTGGCAGGGTGGCATGCGCCTGTAGTCCCAGCTACTTGGGAGGCTGAGGAAGGAGAATGGCTTGAACCTGGGAGGCGGAACTTGCAATGAGCCGAGATTGCACCACTGCACTCCACCCTGGCAGAACGAGACTCCATCTCAAAAAAAAAAAAAAAAAAAAGGGCAAAGGACATGGACAGACACTTCTCAAAAGACATACATGTGGCCAACCATATGAAAACATGCTCAACATCACTAATCGTCAGAGAAATGAAAATCAGAACCACAGTGAGATACCATCTTACACCAGTCAGAATGGCTATTACTAAAAAGTCAAAAAATTACAGATGTTGGTGAGTTTGCAGTGAAATGGGAAAGTTTATACACTACTAGTGAGAATGTAAATTAGTTCCTAGCCACTTTGGAAAACAGTTTGGTGGATTTTCAAAGAGCTCAAAGCAGAATTACCATTTGACCCAACAATCCAATATTTGGGTATATACCCAAAGGAATATAAACTGTTCTACCAAAAAGACACAGGCATGTGCTTATTGCAGCACTATGCACAAAAGCACAGGCATGGAATCCACCTAGATGCCCATCAGTGGGGGACTGGATAAAGAAAATGTGGTACATAAGCACCATGGAATGCTACACAGCCATAAAAAAGAACAAAATCATGTCATTTGCAAGATGCAGCTAGAGGCCATTATCCTAACAAATTAACACAAGAAGTGTTGTCATCCCTGCTCCTACTCCGGGCTGCGGGGTCAGTGCGGATATTCAGTCATGAAGTCAAGGTAGGGACTTCTCCTGCAACGTGGCCGGCAAGACTGTTTGTGTTGCGAGGGCTGGACTTCCAGGTGATTTTACAACAAGATGCTGCTCTCCACAGGGATGCTTATGTTGTCAGTCACACAAGTCTACACCATCTTGACTGTCCAGCTCTTTGCATTCTTAAACCTACTGCCTGTAGAAGCAGACATTTTAGCATATAACTTTGAAAATACATCTCAGACATTTGATGACCTTCCTGCAAGATTTGGTTATAGACTTCCAGCTGAAGGTTTAAAGGGTTTTTTGATTAACTCAAAACCAGAGAATGCGTGTAAACCCATAGTGCCTCCACCAGTAAAAGATAATTCATCTGGCACTTTCATTGTGTTAATCAGAAGACTTGAGTATAATTTTGATACAAAGATTTTAAATGCACAGAGAGCAGAATACAAAGCAGCCATAGTTCATGATGTTGATTCTGTTGACCTCATTAGCATGGAATCCAACGACATTGAGGTACTAAAGACAACTGACATTCCATCTGTCTTTATTGGTGAATCATCAGCTAATTCTCTGAAAGATGAATTCACATATGAAAAAGGGGGCCACCTTATCTTAATTTCAGAATTTAGTCTTCTCTTGGAATGCTACCTAATTGCCTTCCTTATCATAGTGGGCATCTGTCTCATCTTTATAGTCATTTTCATGTTTTTGGCTATTACAAATAAAGCTGACATGGACATTTGTTTTATGGAAATATGCTTTCATTTCTATTGGATCACAAATTTTTTCCAGGATAGACATAGAGCTAGAAGAAACAGACTTCATAAAGATCAACTTAAGAAACTCCCTATACATAAATTCAAGAAAGGAGATGAGTATGATGTATGTGCCATTTGTTCAGATGAGCAGGAAGATGGAGACAAGCTCAGAATCCTTCCCTGTTCCCATGCTTATCACTGCAAGTGTGTAGACCCTTGACTAACTAAAAACCAAAAAAACCTGTCCAGTGTGCAAGCAAAAAGTTCCTTCTCAAGGCAATTCAGACTCTGACACAGATGGTAGTCAAGAATAAAATGAAGTGACAGAACATACTCCTTTAGTTAGACCTTTAGCTTCTGTCAGTGCCCAGTCATTTGGGGCTTTGTCAGAATCCCGCTCACATCAGAATATGACCAAATCTTTAGACTATGAGGAAAATGACAATGAAGATACCAACAGTAGTGATGAAGAAAATGAAACTAATGAACATAATGTTGTGGTCCAGTTGCAGCCTAATAGTGAATGGGATTACAACATAGCAAATACTGTTTGACTTTCAGAAGATGATTGGTTTATTTCCCTTTAAAATGTTTAGGTATATACTTTAGTTTGATTTTTTTACTCCCTTCAAAGATTTCCATAGAAATAACTTATTTTTTAGTATTCTACAATTTAATAAAATTGCTGAAAAAGGACTTTTGATCTGGTGTTTATCTGCAAGAGTGTACTTCTTCACTAATAATAATAGACTGGTGCTGTAACTTAAGCATCATTTCAGCTCTTCTTTTGGAGTGAAAGTATAGCCAAAACAACAACAACAACAAAAAGTCTTCAGTATAGCTTTCAATTAAGACCTAGATCACAGTGTTTAAGTGTTTTGCATTTTATACGTGAGGTCAGTGCTACAGCTACCTAGCATGAAATAACCCAGCTTCTACCTCCATAAAGTTACCTAGAGTTTTTGAGTTGGAATATGTTCTGGCATTTACCCGACCTTCCATCATTAGTGAGAGGCAACAAGGTAATTCAGTGTCTTTCCTCCTATCGGCACAAAGAAGCTCAAAGCAGTCTTTTCCCTTTCTGTTCCAAAGAGTCTCATACTGACAGGAGCAGTCTATACCAGTGCAGATTTCAACACTTTTTTTTTTTTTAGCGTTTTAATTACTATAGTGTTATGTGGAGATTTGATTCAATAACTAAAGTAATGTCTCTGAACTTTACTTACTAAATTTCAGTATCCTTAAGAGTTTTGTGGTATTGTTATCAAAGCGAAAAGAAAATGCTGCATAAAAATACCAAACTTCAGCAACTGTTAACGCTCAGATCATGTAGCTCTTAATAAATGGCATCTTATGCTAATTAGCCCTGCTAAACTATGCACAGAGGAAATTATTCAAGTATTGGATTTGAAAGTAAGTGACTTATGTTTAACAGAACTAATGATGTCTTGAAACAATGTATTATGAAAAGCTAAATTATATTATACATCATTGTAATTATGTAGAAAATGTAGACTAACGTATAATCAAAATACTTATACAATTTTTATATGGCCTTGTATGAGGGGAGTTTGAATGTTAATAAACGTGTTTTCCACTCTACAATCCAGTTTAAAAAAAATTAACGCAAGAACAGAAAACCAAATACTCCATGTTCTCACTTATTAGTGGGACCTAAACATTGAGTGCACATGGACACAAAGAAAGGAACAGTAGACACCAGAGCCTACCTGAGGGTGGAGGATGGGAGGTGGAAGAGAATTGAAAAGCTACCTATTTGGTATTGTGCTCACTACCTGGGTGACAAAGTAATTTGTACACTAGACCAGAGACATGCAACTTACTCATATAACAAACCTGCACATGTATTCTAGAACCTAAAATAAAAGTTGGAAAGAAAAAAAAAATCATGTCATTTAGCAATAAGTATACTTAACAAAAACATAAAATTATTTGTTCATGAAGACTACAACACAATGGTCAAAGATTTTTCTATCACATGACCAATGGCCCCTGAAATTCAAGAAGGTACATTCAACAAAATGAACTAATAAAATTTCATGCAAAAACTTTGCTTGTAAAATACCATAAGCCTCGGATTGTTTTTGGTGAAATGTGCTATCTCTTCAACTGCAAATTCCTAGTATCAGCATTCTAAAGTAATTGAGTTATGAAATTAAATTGGATTAAAAAAGAAATAAGTAAAATAATTCAAATGGCTTTTGATATAATTATTTATAACATAATAATTGTTACGGAAATCTTAATTTAAAAAAGAAGTCTTATTTTTGAGGGTCACTGGTGGTCCCTGTGTTAATCTTATGGTGCCATATTTCTGGAGCCTCTTATTTATGTTCCTCATCTATCAGCTTTATGGTATATCCAGATTTCTTTGATGTATCCAAAGACAATATGGCTATTTGGAGAGAAAAAGGTAGAGTGGGGTGAGGTTCAGAGGGTGAGAATGTAAAGCAATATAATATCCTTTGGACGATAAATATCAAAAGAAAGATTTACCCTCCAGCAAAATAAAAAAGGAAAAGTGTAGATATAATTGAAGTTATATAACACATGTTTCAAAGGAATATATACCTGTGTGTTTTATAATATACTAGATATATGTTATCTAGTATATATTTACTATGTATTATATATAATTATATAATCTAGTATATATCTTTGTAATCATTTTGTACAAAACTAGAGTTAATAAAAATGTTTATTTTGAAATATTAAAAGTATAGTTTGCCTAAACATTAATTGTAAATTTACTAAAGTTACTGATATGATTTGGCTGTGTCCCCACCCAAATCTCATCTTGAATTCCCATGTGTTGTGGGAGGGACCTGGTGGGAGGTAATTGAATCATGAGGGCAGGTTTTTCCCATGCTGTTCTCATGATAGTAGGTCTCATAAGATCTGATGGTTATTATAAGCGGGAGTTTTCCTGCACAAGCTCTCTCTTTGCCTGCAGCCATCCATGTAAGGTGTGACTTGCTTCTCCTCGCCTTCTGCCATGATTGTGAGGCTCTCCCAGCCATGTGGAACTGTAAGTCCAATTAAACCCCTTTCTTTTGTAAATTGCCCAGTCTCAGGTGTGTCTTTATCGGCAGCATGAAAACGGACTAATACAATTACACATAACTTTATGTATTTATTTATGTTTACAAATGAAGCAAGAAAAAACTTTAGCATTAAAGGTGCTAACATTATTTTAATAAAACAGAAGAAAGTAATTCTGTGTTGAAGACTTGGTGTCAAGCAGATTTGGAGAGGACTTGCTTTCCAGAAATGAAGTGAATGTGAGGGGGAAAAAAGAAAAATAACTAAAATTGAAAACAAAATCTGTTGCATGTACACTTTGTCTCAACAGTCTTCACTGTAGTTAACACTCTTAGCAATTCCTCCTATCTCTAATTTTTCATTTTTATCATCAGAATAGACATTAGAATACTATTAAGGCATTCCCTGAAATGAGTAAAACCTCTCTACTTTTATTTCTCTGATAAAATAAACCTGATATAAAAGGGGATAAAAGACTATAGCTTTTCAAAATGGTCATTCTCTTCAGAATTATGCGTGCTAAAAATGCCAGGCCAATTCAGCAACCTTAGACTTGAAGATCTTTTTGATCTGAGACATTGAAACAAAAGCAGGATATTGACTAACCATGTTAATGTGCATAAACTAACTCTGTTTTAGTCAGGAGCTAACCTTAATGCATCCACAATAAATCCAAAAGAGCCAATGCCAATGAGACATTTGCTTTTATTCCTGAAGATTTTTGGGGATACAAAATAAAGTTTTACCCACAAAAACTCAGAATTTCTCCAGAAAAAGCTTCATGAACCATCTCTTCTCCAAAGAACCTCCTTTCAGCCTCTAGTCATCAGGTATCTCTTCTTTTCCATCTGCCCTCCTGCCCTGATCTGTGTCTAAGAAACTCTTAATTTGTCTTTTTCTCTCCCCACCTGTGTTTTATTTTTCAAATTTATTCCAACATTACAAAGGTTATTCTAGCCTTTGTCTTTTTAAAAATTTTAACAGATTTTTATCGTTAAAAATTTCCTCATGCCTCTTTGCACAATCCCCTCTTTTTACCCCCAGCTTCCATGGATCTCATTTCTCTCTATATGCTGTTGTCTTTCCAGAATGTCATATAATTGTCAATAAAGTATGCAGCCTTTTGTGTCTGGCTTCTTTCAGTTAACACAGTGCTTTGAAATTCATACATGTTACATGTATTCATGGGTTGTTCGTTTTTACTGGTGAGTAGTGTTGCATTGCATGGATGTACTACAATTTGTTTCTTCATTTACCAGTATGTTTATATGTTACTGTTTTTAGTTTTTGGCTATTATGAATAAAGCTGTCACAAACATTTCCACATAGGTCTCTGTGTGGTCACATATTGTTATTTATTTTGGATGGTTACAAATGAGATTGCTGGTTCATATAATATATTTAACTTTATAGGTACTGTTAAACTATTTTTCACATGAACTATATTATTTTGCATTCTCACTCATAATATTTGAGATATCCACTTGCTCTACATCCCTGTCTTGACTTGATACTGTCATTCTTTTGAATTGTAGCAATTCTAGCAAATGTATAGTATGTCTTTGTGGTTTTAATTTACATTTTCTCAATGATTAATGATGTCTAACATCTTGTCATGTACTTATTTGCCCTCTGTGTATCTTCTTTATTTTCGTTTTTAAATTTGCAAATTTAACACCAAGCCTGGATAATTTTTGTATTTTTTTTTTTTGTAGAGATAGGGTTTTGCCATGTTGCCCAGATTGGTCTCGAACTTCTGGGCTCAAATGATCTGCCCTTGTTGGCCTCCTAAAGTGCTGGGATTACAGGTGTGAGCTACTGTGCCTGGGCTATATCCCTTCTTTAATGAAGTATTATTCAAATGGCTTTTAAAATTAGGTTGTGTTTTTATTGTTGAGTCATGAGAGTTCTTTTATTCTAAATATTCTTCTAAAATGTTTGAATTTTTTTTTGTTTGTGTCTTAGGAATATCTCTATTACAGTAATGTTGCAAGTATTTTTTCCTAGTTTGTCAGTTGTCTTTTTTAAATTAAATTTATTTATTTTTTTTTGCTGGGAAGAGAAGGTCTCCAGTGTGGACTGAAGGTACCCTTTCTTCCCCTAGTTTATTGTTTGTCTTTGATGTTACTAATGGTATTTCTTGCAATAAAAAGGTTTATTTTTAAATATTTATTTGTTTCTTTGTTTATTTAGAGATGGAGCCCTGCTCTGTCACCCAGGCTGGAGTGCAGTGACACAATCTCAGCTCACTGCAACCTCCACCTCCCAGGCTCAAGCAATTCTCCTGCCTCAGCCTCCTGAGTAGCTGGGATTACAGGCGCCCACTACCATGCCCAGCTAATTTTTGTATTTTTAGTAGAGACGGGGTTTCACCATGTTGGACCAGGCTGGTCTCGAACTCCTGACCTTAAGTGATCTGGCTGCCTTTGCCGAGACCAGCTCGGTGGTGGAGACCCTAGCAGTGCAAGAGGAATTAAAGACACACACACACAGAAATATAGAGTGTGGAGTGGGAATCAGGGGGCTGACAGCCTTCAGAACTAAGAGCCATGAACAGAGTTTTACCCACATATTTATTGACAGTAAGCCAGTGATAAGCATTGTTTCTGTAGATTATTGATTAACTAAAACAACAAAGGGATGGATCTGGCTAGTTATCTGCAGCAGGAACATGTCCTTAAGGCACAGATCACTCCTGCTATTGTTTGTGGTTCAGGAATGCCTTAAGCCGGTTTTCTGCCCTGGGTGG